AGATAACCAACGTGAACTTATAAGAGAAATAAATAAGCAGGCTTCTGCTAAGAGGAGAGATAACCAACGTGAACTTATAAGAGAAATAGATAAGCAGGCTTCTGCTAAGAGGAGAGATAACCAACGTGAACTTATAAGAGAAATAAATAAGCAGGCTTCTGCTAAGAGGAGAGATAACCAACGTGAACTTATAAGAGAAATAGATAAGCAGGCTTCTGCTAAGAGGAGAGATAACCAACGTGAACTTATAAGAGAAATAAATAAGCAGGCTTTTGTTAAGAGAAAAGATAATCAGCCTGGGCAAGTGAGAGAACTAAATAGACAAGCGTTTCTAAAAAGAAAGCAATCACAACCTGAACGGTTAAAACAAATAAACAGGGATTCAGTAACAAGGAAAAGGACATCAAAAAAAGATGATTCACTCAAAGCAAAAAAACTGAAAGCATCAAGTTCTAATGGTGAATGTGGTGAATCATTAGAAAATAGAAGAACAAATTATCTTGATTCAGAGACAACTGGTATAAGTCCAACAAACTTTATTTTAAATTTTCATAAGAAAGTAGAATGCGGGCCAGAATATGTATGCACTTGCTGTGACCAGTTATGGTATAAATCTTCTGTAAGAAAATGTAACCTGAATACTTATTCAAGATGCCCATCGGAACTTGTAACTCAATGCATTACAAATACTAAAAGTATATCAGATACAGAATGGATATGCACAACCTGTCACTCAAACCTAAAAGACGGAAAATTGCCTGCATGTGCAAAYGCCAATAATATGGCATTTCCTGTAAAACCTGATGTTTTGGATTTAACACAACTGGAAGAAAGGCTGATTTCACCTAGAATTCCATTCATGCAAATACGTGAATTGCCAAGAGGAGGTCAACTAAGTATTCATGGTAATGTAGTAAATGTACCTGCTGATGTCAATTTAACAGTTAATTCTTTYCCAAGATCACTTAGTGAATCACAGACTATTCCAATTAAGCTAAAGAGAAGGCTTTCCTATAAGCACCATTATAAGTTCCAAAATGTTAGACCAAAAAAAGTATTAGAAGCAGCTAAATTTCTTGCTGAAACAAGTGACTTGTATAAATCAGAAGGTATAGTGATTAAGCAGAACTGGATTAAATSTCTACAGAGTMATAATGAAGGAAAAGAGRGGAAAGAATTRCTATTAGATACATGTAACTCAAATCAATCACCAACTGAAYTCAATACTGACATAAGCAACCTAAGCAATGGGGAGATAACATCAAAATCTATTTCTSATGATSATGARGGTTGGTGCGAAGTAGATGAACGTCCATCAGGCAATCTAGATACTTTACTGCAGGAACCAGATGTTGCAGAAAATGGTGACAATATTATAAGRTTTGCACCAGGGGAAGGCAATAAKRRRCTAGGGATTTTTATGGACAAAGACTCAGAATTTTTATCATTTCCTACTATATTTTGTGGAGAGCGAAGA